TCCAGCACCTGCGTGTCACTTCCGTCTTCTCCACCTAGCTACAGCGAGATCTCCCGAGACGACCACATTGAGAGTTCCTTCATTCCTCTCCTAGATGATTATGACGAGGATGACAGTCCTATATTCATGCGCATTCATGCGCTCCCCCCTCCCCCAGCATACACTGAGGTACACATGCACATATAAATAGACATATATAAACATAGCCTCAACCATAGTTGAGATTGCACTAAGGATTGTGTCTGTCTTTCTTCTGATTAAACAGCAAAACTAAGACTGCATCGGAAGTGGAGTTCTCCTTCAAAAGAGACTCCAACGGAAGATCAAATGCAGGGAGATTCAGATTTCAGATCTCAGAATGACACTGCTAATGGACCATGCATGCTTGACTTCAGAGTTGCGGACTATGAAATGCTATGTCACGCCAAGAACTGGTTGATTGCAAGTCGGTGAAGTCGTCTGAAGCTGGACTGTTTTGCTGATGTAAGAACCCACCTCTTGAAAATGACCACTGACGTCTTCATGTTTAATTCTGAAGAATCCTCAGAATCTGAGAGAGTTTTTACATTTATGATTTTGCCATATTGGCATAATATTCTGTCTGCACATATTTCAAATTGGAAAGTGTTTGTGGTAGATAAGCCTTCGGATTATAGAGACAATATTTTTGTAATGCACAAAAATGTTATGCAGTTTTGTGAGTGGAAACAATTATATATCATTATGAGTTGTTTGCTGAGCTGTTGGTGTGCTGTGTCTAGTATTACAGTCTTTCCTAGCAGCATGTGTATTTCTAATTTAATATAGAAATTAGAATATGCATATATAGTATATAGTCCGTTTTTAATAGTATATAATTGAGTATTACTGTCAAGTTAATCCACTTTGAAATTTGAAACGGATTGTTATGTGCATTTTGTACTCTTGATTTTTTATTTGAACTTTTTTTTTATTTAGAACTTTTAATAACATTACAGAATACAATAAAAATGAAATTATCAATGTAATTAAGTGTCATTTGTATGAGATCTATCTATCTATCTATCTATCTATCTATCTATGTATCTATCTATCTATCTATCTATCTATCTATCTATCTATCTATCTATCTATCTATCTATCTATCTATCTATCTATCTATCTATCTATCTATCTATCTATCTATCTATCTATCTATCTATCTATCTATCTATCTATCTATCTATCTATCTATCTATCTATCTATCTATCTATCTATCTATCTATCTATCTATCTATCTATCTATCTATCTATCTATCTATCTATCTATCTATCTATCTATCTATCTATCTATCTATCTATCTATCTATCAATGTCTGTCTGTCTGTCTATCATCTATCTATCGTCTATACAAAATTATATATTTTTTATAATTTCATGTATCTATCTATCTATCTATCTATCTATCTATCATCTATCTATCTATCTATCTATCTATCTATCTATCTATCTA